TTTGTGTGGATAAAGTGATATGAATCCTTGATGAAATAAGATAACATTTTTTAAGCATATGTAGAACATAGAAAAATAAGTATTTTTTGTTTGTTTATCCATGAACTCGATAAACGTTATGCTAGAATGTAAGTATAATATTTAGTCTTTTAATTGGAGATATTCACACTAAAATTGGAATTTTGCAAGCATATGAATCCTTTTTTCATGTTGATAAAGTGACATGAATCCTTGATGAAATAAGATAATATTTTTTAAGCATATGTAGAACATAAAAAATAAGTATCTTTTTGTTTGTTTATCTATGAACTCGATAAACGTTATGCTATAATATTTTTGCATTGATGCTAGAAGAATGTATCAAAAAAGATGGGCTATGATTTTTTCAGTCAGTAATATTTCATATGGTTTTCAAGATGTCGATATTGATCCGTCTATTGCGATCTTTTCCTTCTTTAGCATTGGGCTTGAAAATTACTTTCTAATACTTTTACTCTATTATTTTTGTAAGGAGGGTATTACGAATGGAAAGGGAAATGTTCACTTATATTTGTGAGGATGTTAGTTTTTCCGTCATCTACAAGTAGATGAACAACATTGTATATACTGGTTGATCATCTAAATGATATCAATTTAACTTAGTTCGCCAAAAAGTATGTGTCTCATCAATACTTATAATTTGAACTCATTTTATTATAGCATATAAAATGTTTTTTCATCAATGTTTGCTCCTCTTTTTTGAGTTTTTTACCTAGCAAAAAACTACAATAAAAGAAGCAGTAAAATAATGTCAGACAACAACCGGTAAGTAGTTTCACAAGCCCACTTTTGGCCCGTAAAACAATAAAACCTTAGAAGTCAATTCTAATTGATGGATGCATGGTGCCTCCTATGCCGAATAGATATCAGACTATCTTAAAGTCTAAACATGTGTAAAAAAAAAAAAATTATCAACCATGTCTACAATGGGCATTAATGTAGAGAATGAGTATATATCGGTTATAATTTACACTCAATTATCACCAACTACTAATGAAACCATGTTTCATCAAAGACGTAATTTCTTAACAAATTTATGTCACATACACCATTTTCGATTGCATGTCGCTTTATCAACCTAGTCGTCCAACCTTTTTAAAGGTCACTTTCCTCTCATGTATTTACATAAACTTCCTGGAGTATTCTAATCCCATTTTTTCAATTTTCACCGGTCATCCGACTCATCCTAAAATATTATTGTATAAGATATTATTTTTTTATACTTCTATTACCTATGACTAAAATTTATTTTATTGTTGTATACGATGTCATTTTGGTGAATTAAAATCTTACTCAGTAAGTAAATAATAGTGTTAAATTTTACCGGTAAACACTTACCATGTAAGTGTTTGATAAACGACTCCTAAGTATAGAATATCAACAAGTGATGGGTACATGGCATTTGGACTATTGATCATTTCATGGATTGTCCATTTTATATTCTGTTTATTATTTATTTTAATTTTAATTTTAATTTTTGTCTTGCTTTATTACCACCACTTCATCACTGTTTATAATTCTAAGGTATGGTCCAAATTAATATCATAATGTGTCATCGACAGCAATGATTACGTGGCATTGCCACAACATTTTTGCAATTTGAGTTGATAAACATAGGAATATCCTAATATCAGTGGTAGATCAGGATTTTTGTTCAGTGAGATCACCTTTAAGATAGATTAAAGACCCGTAAAATAGTCAAATATGTTTTTAACCTAATTGCAATGTTTTGAGGGATTTTTAAAGTTTTTTGGTTGATTTCGAGGGATTTTTTAGTGTTTTTGTCAATTTCGAATAACTTTTTTGGTTTTTTGATTAATTTCAATAGATTTTTTTGTTAGAGTAACGGTTTCGATTGGGGTTGGGGGGCCATGGAAAAATGTAATGGGGAGAAGTGAAAGGTAAATCTGTAAAACCTAAAGTTTAACCTATGAATTTTTTTTTTGAGTTTTTGACTGGGGTCCCTTCCCCCCTTTTGCTATTGCATCCGCTTGGGGTGTTCATGGGTTGAGTTGATCGGGTTGAAGACATTTAAACAACCCATCCAATGTTTGTGGTTTGGAAAATCTTAACCCAACTCAACCCAAACGAGAGTGCAACCCAACCCAACCCAAACCGTACCGGTTGGTCGGGTTAGTCGGGTTGGGCGGATTGATACTTTGGTACATTAAAATATTCGTCTAACCTTGAATATGTTATTTCTCTACTCATAATTTCTTTTCCATCATCAACCATTTTGATATAAAATATTCATACTTCTTACGTATATCACATTCAGTTAATTTTCTCAATTTACATATATATGTTTACAGTTATCGAACATATATATGGATTAGTTATATACATATGTGAATAGATTGAAAATATATGTATATGAAGAGCGTACGTGATAGTGTAATTGCTAATGTATATATATTAATAAAATGATATCGGGTTCATCGGGTTGGGTTGAGTTCAAATAATAGTAGCCCAATATCAACCAAATACATACGGTTTAAAAATTTTACAACTCGATTAGACATTTGGTTGTTTCGAGTTGAGTTATTTCATGTTTGATTAAGTTGAGTTGATTATATTAATCGAGTTGGTCGAATTTTTGAACACCCCCTCATCAACCCTCCCCTAAAGATTACCACATCAACCATATAATATAAATTATAAAAATGTAAAATTTTACTTTTTATTATTAAATGGATGTCATGTCAGATATTATGAAAAGAATATTCTACAAAAGAAAATATACTTTTCATCACCAATTTTTCTTTTTTCTTTTATAATTAAATCTATTTAAACAAAATATAATAAAATTAAAATCAATAAAAAATGAGGTAAGAACTCAGGTTAATTTCAGTACAATAACTCAATAATGATTTACTATCGTAACAATAATGATGAATGAAATTGTCAGATACGATCGAGTTTGAAAACAAACACTTTCATGTTTTTGGGTAAGATCTATTATAAGGTTCGGGAGATTGAAGAAATAACGTGAATCTGATCAATGAAGCCAAAATCCGTGCATTCTTAATCGATGATGGTTCGTATAAATGCGTGATTTTTAATTGATGACGATTCTTATAAATGTGTAATTTTGTTTTACGTAATTATTATACATATATGTTTGATTCAGATCTTCTGAATTAACCGATCGTTTATAAAAAGTTGAACTGAATCAAATTAGTTCGATTTATTCAATGTACTCCACTACCTCTATCCTCTTTTAACCACTTCAATGTGACCATGACCACTTTTCGTTGTCACCTTTATTTGTGGTATGTGATTCACCATCACCACCACACCCATATCACTCGCCACCTCTACGTAACACCCAAATTGGCCACCACCCATTAACCATAGTCACAACTCCACGTACTTTTCAAAAATGCTAATCTTTCTTTCCACATTATTCGATGAGTTTTGGAGACTTGGACTTCATTATTGGTTATTGTACATCATAAATAATGAGGTAAGAATTATAGGAGTTTGAAAAGAAAATGTGAGGTATTGTTGGGTTTTTACCATAGGAATTGATCCCACATAGGAAATTTTTGGTTTAACCACCAAAAACTACCAAGAGACCCAAAGCCCTATCTTTGACCATTAATATATATGCCAAGCTAAAGCCCAATCCAATTGTCTTAGAAGAGCTTTAGTACATTTTGATAAGGCTTATGATATTGGTCTTATAAACCACTCACTTTTCCCCTTTCTTTCCTATGTGGGATCAATTCCTATGGTAAAAACCCAACAAAAATTACAGGGTTGTGGCGTAGTGATTGAAGTCCTAGAGAATGTAGTGAAATTTTCCATTTGATCAGGGTTCAATTCCAAACGTACAAGCAGGAACTCAAAACCCCGAATGCACTAGTAATAAAAGCTTAATCAACAAGTGAACGGAAACAATAACTATGATACTAGAATGGTTAAACATAAACGATAATGACACATAAATAAAGAACAATTGATCTTTTGGAAATAGTCAAGTCGGCTGTATTTCAATAGCTAATGAGATTACACAAAAACACCAAGATCACACAGTAGTGTGTGCACATAATTTCTCTCAACTAGCTAATGTCTCACAAGTGCGATATTTTCTCTCTTGAATATAGTAGGAACATGTCTTCAATTGGTAATGATACACTTAGAGGAATTACCCTTTTATAGGCGTTTCCAGAAAAGACATATTCCAGATTCGGCATCTTTGGGATAGTCAACACGTCCTCCAGTCTGCTGCCTCTATGTGTCTTGATTGTTGTAACCGTTTCTACATACGTGTTGGATTGAGACTGGACCACTTGTGATGTAGAGACAGACCGTGGAACCTTCATGCAAACGGGTGAGGTATGAGACCCATAGGCTCTACATGTACTATGCAGAGGCTCTGTATATGGGACTCGGGCTCTGCATCCGAGTACTTAGCTTTGTGGGCGCATGTCCTCGGTCTTCATTCCCTTTGTGTCCGAGCTCTTGGTTCCAGGCTGCTTTCAAACTAATTCTTCTTAACTTAAGCAAAAGACTTTTTACTTACACTTTAAAATAATACTAACAGTACACAATAATTATGTCCTCAGAGCTAGTTTCTAGCAGTCACAATTTATAGGGATTAGTAGTGTAATAGGAAATAATTCCTTGAGCATTCTCATCCAATGGCAACGATATATATACAGAAGTGATACAAGAACTTTCCTAACAAACTTGGCTAACAATAAGGAAACTAATATATATCCTATATTTACACGATATGCACAATATATATTCTAATAGTCCCCCGCAGTTGAAGCAGGAGCAGGGCACACGCTTAAAATGGACCGAAAAGTTTCAAATAATTGACGTAGTAAGTCCTTCGTAAAGATGTCAGCGTATTGGTATGCTGAAGGAACATGAAGTATGCGAATGTCACCGACTCGAACCTTCTCATGAACAAAGTGGATATCCATTTCGACATGTTTGGTCCGCTGATGTTAGACTGGATTTTCGGATAAGTACACTGGTGAGATGTTATCAAAATATATCATAGACCGTTGAATCGGATCATGAAGCTCAAGTAGAATATTGCGTATCCAACATGATTCAGCAACTGCATTAGCAACCCCTCTATATTCGGCTTCAGCACTAGATCTTGAAATGGTGGGTTGCCTATTTGAAGACCATGAGACCAAATTATCGCCAAGAAAGACACAATATCCATAAGTATAATGACGCGAATCAGGGCCACCTCCCCAGTCGGCATCAGAGTACGTTGTGAGAGTATGCCGGGGAGAGATGGTTATATGTATGCCAAAGTCAAGAGTGCCCTTTATGTACTGAAGAATGTGTTTCATGAAATTAAAGTGTGGTTCCCGCGGAGCATGCATAAAAAGGTTCAGTTGTTGAACAACATAGGTGATATCCGGTCGTGTGAAGGTGAGATATTGCAGGGCTAATGCCAGTTTTCTATAGAGAGTGCCATCGGCTACAGAAGCGTCCATGGCACTGAGCTTGGGTACAATATCAACTGGTGTAGTGGAAGGATTACATGTTCCCATGGCTGCCCGTTTCAAGATATCGCGTGCATACTAGGCTTGTGACAAAAATAACCCCTGAGAGGTACGGGTAACCGCGATACACAAAAATGGTGTAGTGCCCCGAGATCGGTCATAGCAAATTCCCGTGATAATGTGGCAATAATAGACTTTAAGAAGTCTGGATCAGATGATGTAAGGACAATATCATCGACATATAAAAGTAGATATGCAGTATGTATACCGTGTTGAAGCTCAAGTAGAAGATTGTGTATCCAACATGATTCAGCAACTGCATTAGCAACCCCTCTATATTCGGCTTCAGCACTAGATCTTGAAATGGTGGGTTGCCTCTTTGAAAACCATGAGACCAAATTATCGCCAAGAAAGACACAATATCCATAAGTATAATGGCGCGAATCAGGGCAACCTCCCCAGTCGGCATCAGAGTACGTTGTGAGAGTATGCCGGGGAGAGATGGTTATACGTATGCCAAAGTCAAGAGTGCCCTTTATGTACTGAAGAATGTGTTTCATGAAATTAAAGTGTGGTTCCCGCGGAGCATGCATAAAAAGGCTCACTTGTTGAACAACATAGGTGATATCCGGTCGTGTGAAGGTGAGATATTGCAGGGCTCATGCCAGTTGTCTATAGAGAGTACCAACGGCTAGAGGAGCGCCGTCCATGGCACTGAGCTTGGGTACAATATCAACTGGTGTAGTGGAAGGATTACATGTACTCATGGCTGCCCGTTTCAAGATATCGCGTGCATACTAGGCTTGTGACAAAAATAACCCCTGAGAGGTACGGGTAACCGTGATACACAAAAATGGTGTAGTGCCCCGAGATTGGTCATAGCAAATTCCCGTGATAATGTGGCAATAATAGACTTTAAGAAGTCTGGATCAGATGATGTAATGACAATATGTTGATCCTCTCTCTCATTGATTTCATGATAATCCCTTTTTCCTTTCGATGTATTTTAGTTTCTGTATTTTCAGTTCCAGCGATCAATACACTGAGCATGTTCAGTGATTGCTGAAGAACTCGCTTTGTAAATCATTCAGAGACAACGATACTTCAAGAAAACAACACTCACACCAAAGATCCTTCAGCAAACGTCGAAGACTGAAAC